CTGGAACAGGCAGGACTTGGGTGGGAGGTGCTGGGGGCTCTGGGATCTGGCTGAGTGCAGGGAGTAGAGGCTGGGGGGCTACAGGGCAGGGGGCTGGTGCCTGGGAGGGTGGGGTCTGAGTGTGAAGAGGGGCTGGGGAGGGTAGCAAGGTCTAGAGAAGTGGAAGGGCTGGCAGTTACAAGGATGGGGCTTGTGACAGGGTGGGTGGGGCTTGCGGTGGTCTGGACTAGGCCTTTAGCATCAGGGGTAGGATTTGCACTAGTCTGAGTTGACATCCTGACTTTGTGGGTAGGGCTTGTGGTAGTGTGGCTAGGGACTGCAGTGGTATGGGTGGGGCTTGCAGTGATTTGGGTGGGGCTTGCAGTAGTGTGGGTGGGGCTTGCCATGGTGTGGGTGGGGCTTGAAGTGGTATAGGTGGGGCTTGTGGTGGTATAGGTGGGGCTTACAGTAGTGTGAGTAGGGGTTGCAGTGGTATGGGTGGGGCTTGTGGTGGTCTGGACTGGGCCTGTGACAGTAGGGATAGGGACTATAGTAGTGAGGGTAGAGATCATGGGTTTGTGGGTGGAGCCAGTAGTAGTGTGAATGAGACTTGGCGCACTATGGGTAGGGCTTATGGCACTAGAGGTGGAGTTTGTAGTGCTGTGGGTGGGGCCTGACAGTTCCGAAGGGCCAGAGTCTGTGGCCTTCTGAACTGAATCTACGAGTGTAGATCGGGCAGGGTCTGTAGATTTGGAGACAGGGCCTGTTGTACCAAGGGTAGGGCTTGTGGCAGAATGGCCAGGGTCTAGGGCAGGAGGAACAGGACTGGGGTGCTCCCCACGGGTGGGATCTGGTCCCCATGCTAGGGTTTCTGTGCCCACAGCCTCCAATGAAGCCTCGGCCAAGGCAGCATCCACACTGGCCTCACTGATGTGGCTCAGAGTCCGGCTGTAGGGCGTATGCCCATTTGCCAGGGCTGGGGCCATGGCCCCCTCCTCATTCAAGGGCCTAGAGCTGGGCATTTCAGGCCTACGGAAGGCAACTTGGATGGGCAGGGGCTCAGGCTGCTGCACCAGAGGCCTGGGGGCTGACGAGTGGCGGGCAGTGCCTGAGAGCTGTGGGCTGGATGAGTCGTCTGAAGATTCGGAAGACAAGGACCATGCTGTGCCGTTCTCCAGCTCCTCTTGCCGCCGCAGCATGTTCTGAGTGAAAGGAAAGGGTATTTCAGGACCACGCCCAGGGAGCCCCTGGCGGGTGGTGAGGCCTGGGCTGTGACTCACATAGAAAGCCTGCTCCCGAAGCGAGGGGGTGTCTGGTGGGCTCTGGCTGTAGGTGGAGAAGCGCTTGGTGACTGTGGAGGCCTTGTTGACAGTAGAAGCCGCCGAAGGCTGGTCATCCTTGTCGAAGGGGCTGTGGAGTGAAGAGGCTGTTAGCAGATGACACTTCCCTTCTGGCCCTGTCCCCAAACCCCTCAGTCCCACCAACCTCCATGTGACTTCCAGGCTAAGCTTGATGGTGCCGAGGTCATTGATGTCCACAGCCACAACCTGGGGCAGGGCAGCGAACAGGTCCTTGGTCTCGCAGGAGACACTGCCCACAACCACATGGTTGGTCAGGCCCTTCAGTTCTGTCACCTGTAGCCAACAGTACATGGGAGAGGGGCACAAGGGTGCAGAGGCCATGAGATCGTGGGCCATCAGAGGGCTGAATCTGCACAGAGCTTAGGAGATGGTCATCGGCCATGGAGGCTTGAAGCAGTCTGGGAGCATGGGGGATCACAGATGTCTAAGGGTCATTGAGGTCATGGGGGTCACAGCCTCATGGGGCTCAGGGGGACAAATATTTAGAGACAGGAGGCCACAAAGTCATAAAGATTGTTCTCAAGTCCACAGAGATCATGAAGGTCATGGGGCCACAGAGCCATAGAGGGTCAGAGGAATAAGGGTCTGAGGGTCATGAGGGTCACAAGGGGTTCACAGGACCATGGTATTTTGTGGTCCTGGGCAGAGACATCACCTTGATGGACAGGAATTCCGTGAGCAGAGGAAGAAAGACGGTTTCTTCACTGTCCCACACCTGCTTCCCACTACCCTCAATGCGGCCCCGTAGTTTCCAGCGCTGACGCCCGTATTTCATGCAGATCTGGGGGAACATGCAGGATGAGACAGCCTTCGGTCGTGTGACCCTGCCATCCCAGCCCTTCCCTGCACGTCCTCATACCTCATACTGATCGCCCACACACAGCCTGGCGAAGCCGGCCAGCCCTGGAGTTGGGGGAGAAGAAGAGCCATGTTGGGGGGTCCTGAGCACACTCCCCTTCTGTCCCCTCACCTGCCCACATGACTCAGTACCTTTCATTCGAAGATGAAACTCGCCCAGTTGTGCCTCCAGCTCACTCTCCAGCAGACACATGCTCTGGGAGGGCATGGACAGGTGGGGGGTCAAGAACCAGTCCCCTCCCACCAGCCCTGCCACACCTCATGCCTGTGCTTCACGAGCACCCATCCCTCACCTCCGTGTACTCGCGATGCCCCCGAGTGGCCTCGGCCAAGCTGTCCCGGGCCTCTCGGCTCCCTGGGGACCCGGTGCTATAGGCACGGACCATGTTGTAAGCACCATCCCGGAGACGCCGCTGGACACAGTATGCCTCATACAGCTCGTCGATCTGGGAAGGTGAGTGGGGTAGCAGTGGGGGGACTGAGACTCACCACTGGGGCTGCTCACCCTGGGCTGAGCACTCCCCCCCAAATCTCCCTATGATATCCAATCCCCTGCCCCACTCTGCATGCATGCTGCACGTACCTTGCTGGCATGGAACTCCAGTCGTCGCAGGAAACGGTCAATGGACTTGACTTGCTGGGGGAGAGGTGGGTCAGGAAGGGCCTGAAGCCCAGGGCCCTTTACCTTCCCCATGAGCCAACCCCTTCCAACACCATGCTACACACACTCACCTTGTCCAGGTCATACAGGAAGCCCTGCAGGGGGGATGGGAAGGGCACTTAGGAGGACCCCCGCAGAGGCACTTGCTAACCCATCATAGCTCCCCTCCTCCACAGCCTTCCTCATACCAGTCCACAGCCACTCCAGGCACAGCAGGGACTGACCCCCTTCCTGCATGCCGCATGGTGCATGCTGGTAACACAGATCTGGTCCCTTAGACCCCTCCAGGACCCCTCCTCCAACTCTCCCCTGGTATCCCTTTTCTAGCAGCCCCTAGGGAGGGACCGCTGTGCCTCCTCATGCACGGTTCCCCCTGCCAGGGAGCTCCCATTCGTCCTTCATCCACTTCAACCCTAACCCTAACTTCTGGGAGGCCCTAACCTCTTCCCCAGGAAGCACCATGGCTCTCTTCTCAGTACCATTATAACACAATCTCCTGCTGTCCACGTCTAGGGGTCAGACCTGCCCCCCACTGGAAGATCCAGTGAGCAGCCACTGGCTCCCAAGCAGAAAGTGTGCACAGCAAATAAGCCTTTCCTGATGTCCCCTTTTCTACTCATACCTGATCCAAGTCTCCCCAGAAAATGGCCCTGACATCACCCAAGGCTGGCCCTGCCCAGCCCCCCACACCACGAAGGCACAGGGCATCCCTACCACCCATCACTCACCAGGCGGGAATTCCTTTTGGACTCCCTTATCTGCACCTGGAGTTTCTCCTGCTCCTGTTGGTGTACTTCCAGGTAGGCCCTGAGGAAAGGGGTGACAACAAGAATTAACCTACCTCTCCAGCCTCAAGCTGCGCAGGGTACAAGCAGTAGGGAGTGGGTACGGGGCAGCAGAAGGTTGCTACTAACAGAAAGGAGATGGGGGTTTGGGGAGAGACCCTGGGGCAGGGGTGGGGAGGGAGTGGCTTACGTCAGGCCCTGCTTAAGCGCAGCATACACTAGGTCCAGCCGCTCAGGCTGCGGCACCTTGGAGGCTGGGTGAGCCACGGAAAACATCCTGGACACTCGGGAGAGCGCTGGGGGCTTCCGTGGGGGCCCTGGCGGGCTGAAGACCGGTAAACTCCTGAAGAAGAGGCTGCCCTCAGAAAGCGGCCAGTAGGAGTCCCCCAAGCCCTCACTACACACCCAGTCCCAACCCCATCGGCTCTCTTGACCCCGTTAACCCTGCTGCGCTGCGTACCTGGGCCCCCGCTCGTGGCTGCCGAGGACGCCTGCGAAGGACTGGCTCCTACTGACCCGGGCGCTGAGCAGGCGGCGCTGCGGCCGCACCGACAAGGACATCATGGAATGAGTCCGCGCGGGGCTCCCTGGGGGTGGTAGGGGGGGTGGTGTCCAGCACCAGTCGGGTCCCTGAAGCCCACCGCCCGCGACCAGGTTCCAGGGCTGGAGCAGGTCTCCCCTGGTCTCCAGGTACAGCGGCCCAGTGGGCTCCGGCCTCCCTCGCCAGCCCCGGCGCTAATGACAGGGCAGCAGCCAGGGACTCAGCCTCGGACTCGGACTCAGCGTGGCCTCGGCTCGGCCCCCACTTCCTGCCGAGGTGCGGGCTCCGCCTGCTGCCGGGCAGGAAGGGGGGGTCGCGCGGGGACCCTCCTCCGGCTGGGAAGGGGCAGGAAAGGGGCGGGGCGCCCGAAGAATGTGCGGAAGCGCCTGTTTACTGGGGGGGCGGGGCGGCCTCCCGAGCCCAGCCCCATGCCCCCCCCCAAGTGGATCAGGAGGTGGGGTGCCCGCACCCTGGGAGGCCGCAGGAGGTCACGGGGCGGGACGGGGCGGGGTGCACATTCTAAGCCCTGCAGAGTTGCCCGACAGGCCCGCCACCCGCCCGTCCGGTGTAAACTGCTCCCCCAATCCCCCCAGCTCCTGGGCGCTGGGACGCCAGAGCCCTCCCGTCAGAGCCCTCCCGGCGCCAGCAGCCGGGGGATTCCCAGAGTGGGGCGCATTGCCGAGAAGTGCCCCGCCCCCTCCTCTTTCCTACAGCTCCAACCTGGAAACTGAGTCACAGACCAACGCCTTCGCTCCAGCCATTGTCAGGAAGAGATCATCGGCAGACCCCCACCCCGCTTCGGAGAAACACGCACCCCTGGCCCCCAGAATCCAGCCTGCACCTTCTGGGGTGCGCCGCAGGGCCTTTGCAGCCTCGGGCCAGGTCCTACCTCTCTTCTTGGCGCTCATGGTAGGTCCGGGACGGCTCCCACCCCACGCTCGCCCCTTGCGTCCCGCCAGCCCAGGGCCACTTGGTGCCGGCCCGGCTGGCCTCCGCGCTCACTCCCAGAGGCTCTGGCTCCACCTTCGCCTCCTCCTAGCGCCAACCCTGCCCCTCCCCGTTCCCCCCACCCCAGTTCCTGCCGCCTGACTCAGCCCGCCTGGATGGGGCGGGACCGCAGGACTAGGGGGCCACCGGGCCTTGGCCGCCTGGCCTCCGGGAGGAGTGACTGGAGGTTCCCCTTGGGGGGGTCTTCTCGGTTGGGGTGAAAGAGTGTGTAAAGGGACTTGGGTGTGATGATGCATGTGGAGGGCCAGAACGAGGGGGCTGAGCAGAGGCTGTGCTGGGAACGGGGAGAGTAGGGGGCTGGCAGAGTGGCCGTTGAGGGGTGCTGAGAGAAGGTGGAACACAGAGTTGGGGTTCTGAGTGCTAAAAGTGGAGAGAGGGCAGCTGAAGAGTGGAATGGCGGACGGAGGGAGCTGTGTGGAGGGACTGTGCCAGTGGACGGCAGAGAGCAGGGCACTGATGACCAGTCTGGGAGGCTGAGAAGACAGAGGGGTTGAAGGTGTGGGACTGTGTGTTGCTGCTCCAAGAAGGACGGAGAGAAGGAACTGGGTGCAGAGAGTCCCACAACCCCAGTCGCCACTCCCGCCCCTACTCCCAAAGACTGGGATGCTCCGTCTGGGCACTCCCCCTCTGCCAGGCCCCAGGGAAAAGGAGCAGGTCCCACTGCCCAGCCAGGGCCTTCTCTCTAGCAGAAGCTGCATCCAGGACTGAGGCCCCATCCTTCTGGCCCCCTGCTCACATGGGCCCCTGAGGCCCTGAATTCCCACGGTGCCAGCGCTTCCCCACCCCCAGTGTGTCTAACTTGAATATCCCATGCCCGCCTCTAACCTGGATAGAGACCACCATCCATGCCAGGACCCCTGGGCAACCCATCCCTTGACCTCAGAGGGGTTAGATGCTCCCCCATCCCATAAACACTCCTGCTCCCTTGAGGCTCAATTCTGTCATATTATGCTTACTATCTCTCCAAGAAGCTGGAGTAGGCCTAGAGGTCTGCATTTCCAAGAAACTCTCGGACCCCCACCCCTACAGATTCAGATGTAAAAGATCCAAGGACCTCAGTTTGAGAAATGCTATGCTCCTTTACCTCCTTTAAGGCTGGGTGCTGTGCACCCTACACTGGAGACCTTTTCATTCCCAGGCACTGCCTGCCTGACCCTGGCCTCTCTGCTCCCTTCAGCTGCCCCCCATGGGAACGCCGCAGCCTTGTCACTTGCCCCTGGAACGCCCCTTTCCTAAATCACAACCACATTGACCATGACCCTCAGGCTCTCTCCATCACCTCCACTTCACCTGTCTTTTATCTGAGACCTCTGGTCCCTTGAGCTCTTAGCTCATTTATTTAACTGTTCATTGAGTGACAACCGTCCCAAACAAGTGCCAGTCACTAGAGATACAGCCTGGAATTTTACAACCACCACCCTGCACGGAGCTCACAGTCCGCCTCTGCTTTCTTTTTTTCCTGCTAGTTCCTTCCTCCCCTGTCTTCCCTGCCTTCCCTGCACACCCTCCTCCCCAGCCTGGATCCACAGCCCCCATTCCGTCACTCGCCTGCTGCTGGTATCCTCAGCACTCTGCGCCTCTCTCCTTCCTGGCAGAAACCAGCCCTGGGCCACCCAACTCCCTGTCTCCTCTGCACCTGCACACAGGGTAGCGGAAACTGCCAGAGGTCTTGGCACAGCAGCCTGGCTGGAACCACAGAGAAATTCTCAACCTCAGCCAGGCGCTCACTTGCCACCCGGTAAATCCTGGTGTGTGACTCTAGTCATCTCTTTCCTTTCCAGGTGTTTCAGCCTTTCTCAGGTCTCCAACAAGCTCAAGTCACTCCCATGTAAAAAATGAAAATCCTGAAAACTGTCCAAATGCCCATCAATGAATAATGGAATTACTACACAGCAAAAAGAATGAAAAATATACAACTACATGCAACAATACGGATGAATCTAACAGACATAATGTTGAGCGAAAGCAGCAAGGCACAAAAGAGGACATAGGTATCATTCCCTAGATAATAAACTTCAAAAGCAAAACTAACCTATGGTGATAGAAGTCAGACTAGTACTCACCCTTGGGGTGTTGGGACTGGAAGGGGGTGTCAGGGGTCTTCCAGGGTACTGGTGGTGTTCTGTTCCCTGCTCTGGGTTAAATTTTCTGGTACTATATGCATGTGTTCCCTTGTGAAATGTATCAAACTGTGCACTTAGGACATATACCTTCTTTATGTATATTTCAATATAAAGTTGGCTATAAATAAGTACAAAAGAAATGACCAAGCCCGGCGGACCCCACGTCTCTCTCCAGCTACCCCACTCCTCACCCCATCTCTCTCCTCTCCTCTCAGAGCCAAGGTTCTTGAAGAGACGTCTGTCTCCATTTCCTCACCACAGCCACTTACTCCTGCCACCCTGGCCCCACTTCTGTACCCACCACTCCCCTGACTGGTCTGGACGAGGCCACCAGTGACCTCCCTGTTGCCACATCCAGTGCCCAGTGTTTATCCTTATCTTGCTCGATCTCGGTAAAGCTTTTGACTTTACAGCTCTCTTCTTCTTCTTTAAGCCCTTCCTTCTCTTGAATTTCAAGAGGCAACATGCTCCTGGTTTTCTACCCACCTCTCTGGCTGCGTATCTTATGTTCCCACAGAGGCTGTCTCTCTCCCCATCCTCGATGGGCCTTATCCTGCCCGCCCTTGGGCTGTGTACATCTCCCACAGCTCAAAGCCATCTGAATGTTGCCAGCTTCCTTATCTCTGGCCGCCCAAACTACTCTTCTGGGCACCAGGCTGTGTGTCCAACTGCCTGCTGGACGCCTCCCAGAAGCTAAGTGAAGGTGCACAGTGGGCCACTAGGGGATGTGCTGAGTTTGAGGTTCCCAAACTGAATTTGCCACTTTCCTCCTCCAACCTGACTCTCCCTCATCTTTATGTCTCTGTGATGGTCCCACTACCTACGTACCCAGACAAGAAACTGGGAGTCATCCCAGATGCCTCAGTTAGTTACCCCCCACATCCACTCGGTCACCCACTCCTGCTCTTAAATATCTCTGGAATCTGCCCGTTCCCCTCCACCCCCATAACTAGAATTCAGGTCCAAGCCATGACCAACTGTCCTCTAGAACCCTACAGCAGCCTCCTAATGGGCCCGTGGCTCTACTCTAACCTACAATGATCCATTCATTATTCAGTAACAACAGTGATCTCAAAACTCCAGTGACCTGACAATGCCAAAACCGTCCTTTATTCAGTGCTTTCTGTGTGCTTTCCGGCACTAAGCCTAACAAATGTCATCTCATTTAGTTCTGGCAACAACCCTATGGGGTAAATCCTATTAGCCCCACTTCACAGATGGGAAACCTAAGGCTAACTTGCTGTGTGACCTAGGGCAAGACACTTCTTAAGCTTTTGGAGCTTCAGATACCCATCTGTAAAATGAGGACAATAATAAGAACAACGACAGCTACCTCACAGGGCTGCTGGGAAGATGAAATGAGTTACCTCCCCTTCTTGGGAGTGTTTGGGGAAGGGAGAATTGTATGTGGGGGAGGAAGTTGGGGTAGACATACTACCTCACTGTTAGCACACAACGAATATTAACTGCTGTCATTATTAACAATTTTTTGTTGTTGTTAGAGACAGGGTTTTGCTCTGTCACCCAGGCTAGAATGCAGTGGTGTGATCACAGCTCACTGCAACCTCTAATTCCTGGGCTCAAGTGATCCTCCTGCCTCAGTCTCTTGAGTGGCTAAGATGACTGGCATGTGCCACTACACTTGGCTAATATAAAAAACATTTTTTATAGAGACAGGGTCTCACTGCGTTGCCCAGGCTGGTCTCAAACTCCTGCACTCAAGCAATCCTCCCGCCTCAGCCTCCCAAAGTGCTGGGACTATAGGCGTGAGCCACAGTGCCCAGCCAATTAATAGTTATTAATCTGCCCAAGATTACACAGCTGATAAGTGGCAGGGCCAAGATTCAATGCAGGCTCTGTGACCCCACAACTCTAAACCTTTAACATCCCTCTATTTGAACTCACATGAAACATCCACAGCCACACCCTCCCCCAAGGAGAAAGCCCAGACTGTCTAACATGACTTACTGGTAGGAGACCCTTCAGGGTCTGTCCCTTCCCTCACATTCTTTCAACCATCCCTCCCCTCCTGTCCCCTGCTCCGCTATGGTCTCTCTGTTCCAACAACTGTAACCCTCTCTCAATACCTGCAAAGTTCTTCAGCATCGGAGCAGCAACCCCCATTGCTCCTACCTTCTCCCCACTACTCTCCACTGACCAACACCCTCTCCTTCTGCAAGTCTTACCCTATCACTTCTTCCTCCAGGAAGCAGGCCTTGGGTTGGTTCCGCCTTTTTTGGCCTCTCGGTAGCTTCCTCCCTCTGATCCACGAGGCCACATAATTCAGTAGTTAGTTCTCCCTTAGGGTCTGTCTTCCCACCAGACTGAACCCTGTCTGCTTGGGGCCTGTCTGCTTGGCTCACTGCTGAGGCCTGTCTGCTTGGCTCACTGCTGTACCCTTTGGGTCCTCCACCAGGGCCTGAGCACCTGGGAGAGGAAGGAGGGAGGGAGCAGAGTCGGGTGAGCTGAGCTGTCTGGACACAGGAACAGCAGGTCCTGAGCTGTTGGAGGGGGAGACTTCAAGTCTGTGTCCACCCTAACTCCCCATGTACAATTCTCCCTCCCCCGTCCCACTTGCTACTTATATCATGTACCATCAGCAAGTGGGGCTCTGTTCCCTGGGGATGGGGCAGGGTGGGGTACCCAGGGACTTTGGATTCACAGTAAGCTGACTGTTCCATCAATTTCCTTTCACTGTCTGGAGCTCTGCTACCACCAATCCCCTAGTCCCACAGGACCAGGATGTCTAATTGTTGGTACAAACGACCATCAGAATGTCCTTCCTTTTGGGTGACCACTTCAAGGGATGGGTGGGCAGGATCTCCGCTGCTGGGGAGGGGGGAAAGATCCAAACCCCTTGAACTAAGGGAAAGGGTCTACCTCAACTGGTGGGGGCTGGCTGGTAAGAGCCAGGGAACTCTCTGGGCTCAAGTTGGCCCTGCAGTCTGTTCTGGAAATAGAAAAGAACCCAGGTCCCAGGTTCCAAAGGTTAAGGGGCTTGCGGCGCAGCCAGCTTAGAGCAGCCATGAACGACCTGTCTGCATAGCCCCAGAGCCCGCAGCTCAGCTGTACCTCCTGCATGCCAAGGCTGGAACAGCCGTGTGGGACTGAAGATCCCGCCACCGCCACCTGTGCTGCCCAGTTCCCTGGAATGCCAGGTCAGCCGCTGCTCTGGGTATCCCCGGATCTAGCCCCGCCCCGCTCCGTGGCAGCCCCCCTGACCGAGGTAAACAGACGCTAAAAATAACCCCGGCCAAGGGGCGGCTGCAAAGGAGAAGGGGGTCCCTCCTGAGCCTGCCCCTGTCTCCATAGCAACTGCCCCAAACCTGGCTGCTGACGTCATCCCGCAGCTGCCCAAGCATGTACGGAAAGAGACGGGGCGGCTCAGCCAGGGACCCCCCACCCCGGAACCGGGCGGAGGCAGCCCGGTGGCCTCACTTCCTGCCGGCCCCCTCCCTGGTCAGCTGGTCACATTCCCCGGCCAGCCACGCTCTGGGAGCTGGGCGGCCTCCCCAGGGCCTGGCCTGGCTAGAGCGGCAGGCGGCGGAGAGGGGCTGCGGTGACTCACCGCGCCCTCCCCGCCTGCTTCTCCACCTGGCAGGACCCAGCCGGGCGCCCTAAATCCCCCGCTCACCACCCCAGACCCCTGGCACTGCTCACCCTGCTCCTCTCTCTGGCCGCTGCCCACGGGACCCATGATGGGGAGGGGGTGCAAGAAGGCGCTATGCCAGTCCTCCTTGTCCCGCTGGAGTATTTTGTACTTCAATCCCCAATTCGCACCCCCCTCTGCTCTCCAATACTACGGAGGTGGATGTTGCAGGGCAAAGATTCAGCTCTAATTCCCTGCTTCTCCCAAACCAGCTGTGTGACCTTGAAAGTATTACTAACCTCTCTGGGCCTGTCTCTGCATCTGCCAGATGGTCATAACCCTCCTCAGAAGCCTGAGGCTCGGCTGAATGCGGCAGACCCAGGGCGCCGCCCCACAGATGGCGGCAGGTCACCGTTATTGTTACATTAGCCTGCACACAGTAGGTGCTCCGCCTGCCAGCCTGCACACACATTAGAACTGGCTGGGAAGGGTCGGTCCAGGAGGCCAGACTCGGGCCTCACCCGGGACAGGACACGGGGTGGTGAGGCTGGACTTAGTCCGACCTCTAGCGCTGGAGAGTAGCCTCTTCCCCAAACCAGTTCTGCAGGGTGCCCAGGCCAGGCTGCTTGCGGAGACCCCTCATCAGCCAGCATTTCCAGGGACAGGGTCTGCTCTCCGACCGCGCCAGGACTATCCTCTCCTGGGCTATGCCAGGTTTGAGCGGAGAGCACGGCCCAGGCCAGGCTCGGTCACCTCGAGCCCGGCTCCAAAGCGGCTTAGGCCAGCCCGTGGGGCCAGGGAGATTAGCTCAGCTGGGAGGCTGGCCTGCACCCCTGTCGCCCCCTCCCCATTTCCAGCCTCTCCTGCAGCGAGGGCAGCGGGAGACTCCCGGAGAGAGCGCCTGTGCCAGGGCCCAGGCTGGCGCCTTGAGCCCGCCCTCCGGCCTGGCCCACCCCAGAGCCCCGGGGCACGGGCCGCTAGGGCCTTGCCATGGGAGGGAAGGAGGGAAGGAGGCAGCGCCGGGAGCTGCAGGCCCAGAGGCGGCTGCTTTTGTGGGGCGAAGCTGCGTTCTCTGCGCCCGGGGGGAGGGGAGGAAAGACACCGTTCGGCCGGGGTCCGGGGGATGGGGCGAGGCGGGCCTGGGCCGCAACCGGGGCCGTAGATCGGGGACCCACGGAGCGGCGCCGGCGGGGAAGGCACCGGAACAACGGCGCCCGCCCCGCACCCGGCCCGCGGCCCCCGGAAACGGCGCGGACACTCACATGGCTGCGCTGGGCTGCGCGGACCTCGAGCTCTCGGTGCGCTCGACGCTGCTGGGC